GGGAAGAGCGCAATGATAATACCAACATGGGCCAGTGAAGCGACATCCTCCACAACTAGACTGAAGAACAAAAGGACAGCAACTTGTCTGTTCTCTTTCCCTGAATCCCCAACGCTGTTCCCCTCCCCCAATTCCCCAATAAAAATCTTTTAAAAAAAAGAAGCTACGGGCTGGCTGAGTGGCTCAGTTGGTTAAGAGCTCACTCAAGAGTTTGAGCTCTGAGCAACAGCAGTTCAATGCCCGGCCAGAGCTGAGCTGAGATAGGTAGCAGGATGGCTCAGCCAAAAAAAAACCAACAAAAAACAAACAAACAAAAAAACAAGAAAAGAAGAGAGGCTCCAGCAGCCCCAGGGCCTGGAAATACTGGAGGCTGGAAAGGTAGTCGGAGAGGGGAATTTGCTGATGCACAAGAAAATCTAATCTTAGAATGAAGGTAGGTTAATTGGCAGTGATTCACATTTCAAAAAGGTTTGATTTAAATATAGCAAATGTTTTGGAAAAATATGGCTTGATTTACAAGAGTTGGCAACCCCAGGAGATTACATGTAATGCACGAGCCAGGTGAAGTTTGCTGAGAAGTTCAGGTGCTGTGAACACCTGGTAGCTGCCTGAGAGAAACCTGAATGACACCCCGACCACAAGCAACTAAGAGCCCGCCTTCTTAAGCTTGTTTCCAAGTCTTCACCTGTCCACCCTCCCGCTTCCACCTTGGTCAGTGCCACCAGCAGCAGATCTTAGTGACTCTGTTCCCAGAGAACTTTCTGCTGCTATGAAAAACAGAGAAAACCACGCGGAATTTTCTCTGTAGATGGGTTCCCCCCAGCGGCCTTGCCCGATCCGGATGGCAGGGCAACCTCTGGCGTCTGCACCTCCCACGGGCAGAAATCTATAGGGAGAAGGCTTGTCCGGGGCCTTTGGGGCCACCCACCCATGCAACTGGATACGTACACTTTGTAAGTACTGGTTTCCAACAGATAAATGTAATCAAGGTTTATATGCTCAGAGAAGCCAACAGGATGGGATTGTTTCACTTGAAAGATCAGAAGAAAATTGTAACTAATGTTGTGGAAAATTACTTTGATATTGCTTTCTTGGTACCGAATCACAATTAGGCTGCTGTGAGAAGTACAGGGAAAGAATAAATGAATAGTAACAAATCAACACAAACAGCCTGTGTCAGGAACACTTTACTCAGGGAAAGTAACATAAGCATTATTTAAAGTTTTATGACTCTGTTTGATGTGATTTACATAGAGAGTCAAGGTTGCCCATCACCTGGCACATGGTGAGGGTGGTCGAGATCCATTTACAGCCAGAAGAACACAGCTCAAGACTCAAGTGTGCTCCTTGCCTACATCTGCCGGGCTCAAGCGGTTCATGGTTGTAGGTGACGCTGGCTTCAGCCTCCTTCCATCCTACAGGCCCTGCCAGCCTGAGGCTCCACGTTCCCTTCCCTGCTCACCACTCCACCCAAGATATCTTACATGTGCGTGCACTGGGGCAGCTGTGCAGGGCAATGCTGGCTGGCATGAGGGGCAAGAATCCACTGCCCACAGAAGACACGAAGAGCAAGAGCTCCGCTTTGTCAGCTGGCTACAGCACAGCAGGGCATGCATCGTGGCCACCAGATCCAACGCCACCTAGGAACATAACACCTGCCCCTAGACTGTACCACGGAGGGGGGCATGGCGCCTGCCCCAGCTGGACATCACAGACACACTCATTCATGCCTTCTCTCTTAGGCTTATCCCACAGAATGCAGACACTGGCCACGAGGACCCTCTGTCCATGTGTGCGCCCCAACCACGCACACACACACACACACCAAGATATGCACCAAAGATACACAGGCACCATTGACTCCTACACAACTGCGAAGCCAATTTTCAGGATGTCCTTACAATACTGCCCTGTAGGGCCCGGTTCTGCTGACAGTGTCACTGGCCATGGGAGGGCTCACATGAGGCTGCAAAGTCCCCACAGAGAAGCCAGTTTGGTCACTTGTCCTTGCTTCTTCAGAAGCTGGGAGCCGCCAGACCCACTTGTGACAACCACGATCTGTGAGGCGTGAGTCAGCACCCGTGAGTGGCTGCTGTCTCCTGAGGCCTATGGCCTTGGCTGCCTCTCACTGACTCACTGTGATTAAAGAATCAACTCATCAGTCTCCCTTACCAGAACCTCTGGTAGCAGCTGCCGGGCCTGGGGCCCCAGCTCTGGGCTCCTCATGTTCCTTCTGCCTTTCCATCTATTGCCTACAGGCCCACACTCTACTTTGAGAGTGCGAGCCAGCCAGTGCTGAGGGGAGGCTGCATACCTGAGGATCCTGGGCCCCTCTCCCAGGGCCAGGTGCCCCCAGGCCGTGCTCTGCCTTCCTGTGCTATGTGCTGCTGGCAGGGATGGTGCCGAAACCCTCTGCGTAAGCCCCCAGCCTCCACTCATCCTTCATATTGTCCATGTCCTAGAGCACATGGTGTCTTCACGGACCCTCCCCTAAGAAGGCCCCCAGGACCACTGCTGAGAGATGCTGGTCCTCGGGCCTGGCAACAGTGCTTTCCTTTCACGCCAAAGCTAGGGGCAGGAGCTGTGTCCCAGGAGCAGGCATTTTTTTTTTTTTTAGCTGAGCCATCCTGCAACCTGTTGGCCGCACAGCTCGGGCCAGGAATCGAACCGCTGTTGCTCAGAGCTCACACTCTTGAGCGAGCTCTTAACCAACTGAGCCACTCGGCTGGCCCAAGGAGCAGGCATCTTGTCCGAGCTTGCCTCTCTACATCCCATCTGCCTGAGGTCCCAGGACCATCCTTCCTGCTCTCCCCTCACTGCCATCCTCCTGTCCCCAGTAGACTTCTGCCAGTCAGGAAGGGTTGCCCCTCCAGTGGATCACCAGGGGCAGGTGGGATAGGAGGCAGCAGGTAGGTGGGGCTGTAGCAGGAGCAGTCTCAGCCTCACAAAGCCAGGAGGTGACCCCACCCCCTCTGCCCAGGCTGGAGGGGCTGGATTTGAGGGGTCTGCAGGGCTGGGCAGACAAAGAGTCCCACTTGGGGGGACTCAGGGAGAAATCATTCACCCTCTGATGTCCCAAATCACGTGGAAGAGGCCCTGAGAGGTGGCAGAATCCTCCTTAAATCCGAGTTTCATCAAAAGCAACAACCAGCTGAAAGATGAGAAGCCTGCCATCATTCCCAAATGGAGTGCATGGGCTAGGGATTAGAGGCCAGAGGTCAGAGGTCAGAGGCCAGAGCCCTAAGACTAGTGGTCTGACATCAGACACAGTGTTCCCATATTGAGGCTGATGCCCCTCCCAAGAGGAGGCCAGGACCCCTCCTCTGCCTGCTGGGGGCCTCGGCACAGACTTGGCACCAGGGCAGCCGTGGAGGCCGGCACCTTGGGTGGGAAAGTGGGGGCAGGCAGGCGGCGGGGCCGAGTGTGAGGGCTCACCTGGCACCTGCTGGGGCGTGAGCTCCGTGGGGTCCTGCAGACTGATGAAGAGGAGGAGGCCTGCGGCTCCGAACAGCAGGATGGAAGAGAACATGCAGGCCAGCCGCATTGTTCCAGCACGCAAGGTCATCCGGGCCTTGCTCCAGGGTCACCTGCTGGGTGTGGGAGGCGAGTTCTTCCCTCATCGTCCACACCGGGCGTCCATCAGGCCACAGTCTACGGGGCAGAGGGGGAGAAAGATGGTCCATCACTGAGGCACAGGGCCTCCCGGGGGGCCGAGGCACCGGTCACTGTATGGGACCAAGTGCGATCCCTCGATCCCTCCGCCCTGTGGAACTTACTCAGGTATGTACCTTGCACCTTTTCATGCCCACGGAGGCTGAGGGGAGTCCAGTTACTACCTGTGGCTGGGATACCAGCTTCCTTCCAGGGTCTCCTGTATTGGCACCCCTGGGAAAACCATGGAGAGAGAAACACTCTGGCCTCTGCCTGGGGGAGCACAGAGTTAAGCCCTGAGACCCATGGCCAGGGAGAGCAGTCACCCCCTCTACACTGTACAGGCTCTCTGAGCCGCTAAACCAGCACCTGTGGTGGGTTCCAGGTACAGGCAGGAATCCAGGTCCTTGTCCCTTGCAACTGGCCTTGTGGACAGAGAAGGCCTCGGGTCTCCCTCTGCTCTGGCCCTTCTCTATGGGATGCTGGGCACAAGGGTGTCCACAGAGCAGAAGGCTTTGAGAAGGAGCCTCGCAAGCCCAGAGGATGTCAGGGACAGACCGACTCCCCAACTCTGTCACTGCCCCACACCAGCCAGAGCTGTCCTTCCCTGATAGACTGATAGAAGGGCTGGCTGGCTCGAGGCCCCACTGGATAATTGCATTAGTGGGAGCTGAAGCTCTGGCCAGACCATGGCTGTCCCCAATCTTGAGGGCCTCGGGCATGAGGCAGGGCATCCAGATCTGCATCTGACTGATTCTAGGCTCCGAGCTGACACCAGTGTTCCTTGTGTTCCTGCACATGGACACCTACTGCTCTGGCCACTGCAGCCCCAGAGCTTACTCACCTGACTTGCCCCTCACCCTGGTTCTTCCTGAAGGAGAAGAAATTCCAAACACCCCAAGATCAACCAGTGACTCCTTGGGTCAGGCTGTGGGTCACAGATGGGGCATCCCAAAGCCCTCTTCCCAAAGGAAGGTTGTCAGTTTCCACAGTGGGATGGCATGGGTGCGGAAGAGGAATCCATACAGGAGGCCAGGACAGAGGGCCAGGTATCCCAGGACCTCCCCTTTCAAGGAGCGTCACTCTGTCCTCTGACTTTCACCTGTTCTTACCAGCCCAAGCCCAGGGACAGCACCCTCTTTCCACCCCAAAAGCCCTGGCTTCCCCCATCCTGGCACAGGGCAATGCCTAAGGGAGGCTGAGTCAGGTGGGCAGCTCCCAGCAGCCTCCGAGACCACAGGTGGGCAGCTGGTCAGGCCCCAGACCAGATGTGCTGCTTGGCACAAGGACGTTTCCCGGCTCAGGGTCTCCTCAGGTGCAGGGAACCCATCCTGACCCGGCACCCAGGCACTGGAGAAGGAAGCCCCAGCTCCCTATTGTCCCTCGGCATCCGACCTGACCTGCGGGGCAGGAGACAGGAAGTGATAAGCACAGAAGCCCCTCCCTCTCCTGCCCAGACAAAAATTCCCAAGGACTGGACTGTTCTCAGGAAAGCGGAGGAGTGTTAAATTGCAGGTTTGGGTTTCTCCCTTCTGCAGTCTCTGTAATTATTTTTTCACTCAGTTAACTTTAATTAACCTGCCCCAGGCCTCTACGCACGGGGAACGCGCATGAACGCTGGGTTCTCTGGGCCGTGCTGAGCAGGTGGTTCCCACGACCTCCTGGCTTTCATGTTTGGGAGGCAGCGCTGAGCCAGGATCAGCTTTGTTTTTAGAGCTGGCCCTGGGGTTTCAGGCTGGTCCCAACTTCACTGCAGCGGCCCCCATTGCAGAGAAAGGCTGCTGCTTCCTGCCATCACCAGGGACCCCCTGCCCTGGGCTTGCAGTGGGTGAAAATGGGCAGCCACACGTCCTCAATGGCTCAGACCTTGCAGCCCCTCGTGTGCAATCCTGGCCTCCCCCGCCATGGCGGATCTGGATGGGGCTGTCCTGGGGACCAGTGCAGGCCCCAGGCTCTGTTGAAGAACAAGGCCACTCTCGGCAATGCCCACAGCACGCCTGATGCCCTGCGGTCTCCCAGCCACTGCGTGCAGGACCCACTGGTGCCAGGCCTGAGGTGCAGGGGAAGCGTGAGCCACTGAGGGAGGAGGTGGAGCTGTTCTCTCCCACCCTCACTCTGCTCCCCGCCTCCAGCAGTTGGCTTAATCCCCTGGGTTTCCCAGGAAGTCAAGGAAAAGAGTCGAAAGAGTGGGAATAATATCATACACACTGATGCAGTGGGGACAAGACCCTTAGATGGGGAGCAGGGGAGCCAGTTCAGGCCTTTCTGGAGCAAATACACATGTACTAACTAACGTTCACTCACACACATGCCCAGGCACACACTGGCACATGCACACCACTGACGGTCCCCAGCAAGACGGCGGCCGTAAAGAAATCAGCATGAGTTCCTGATTATGCTGGCCATGGTGTTGGCACACTTTCTGCAGCTACATGGGCCTCCCGAGTCAGACACGAGACCAGGAGGCCAACCTGATCTAGGGTGACCTCTGACATCAGGACATATCATAAGGAGGAAGAGAGGGAAGGAGGGACGAAAGGATGGCAAGCTTATGGCTAGGCCACATAGCTGCCTGGTCAAACAGTTAATAAAGTGCCACACAGCTTCAGCCCAAAGACTCTGATAAAAAAAAAAGGGGACCCAGATGCCCATGCGATCATCATTGCGTTGTTTGTACAGTAGCTGGCGCTGAAGACGTGACTACAGAAGGGCTGGTCAGTCCCTTCTTCTCCGCAGTCTGTTACACTATCACCATTCGAGCCACCATAGATTTCCCCCATCCTGCAGCTATGACCCCCTTCTCACTTGTTTCTGAACTTGCCCAAACCAACCCACCACATGGAGCCAGGCTCCAGCGGCCTATGCGCCTGGAAGCCAGGATGAGGACCACATCCCTGGCCCCAGATCTGGTGGGGGGAAGAGGACGCAGTCCCAGGACCTGTACCTCCACCATGGCAGGTGCATCGGCCATTCAAATTTATCTTTTCAGAGGCCCCAGAGAGAATACAAGTGCCCTCTCCATGCCCAGGGAGCTGGACTTAGAGCCGTGTATGGCTTCCCCTGCCCAGCCCCTAAGCATCAGACCCCAGCCTCACCCTCATCCCCTGGGACCCTCTTGTGAGTGTCAGCTGTCACTGGAGACCATCTGACCAGCTAACTGCCTTCTCTGTGCAAAAGGAATCAAAAGGTTAGCATGCCTCCCCTCCTGGGTAACTGGTTCGCAGTCTGGCTGGGTCTTCAACGCCCCAGGAGGGGGTCAACGTTATAGAATCTGTAGAAACCTCTTTCCTTTAACCCTCCATCGGGTGCAACTGATCTCACAGATTTATTGCACACAAATCTTCAGATACCTAACAGTGACTCATCGCTTCCGTATCTTCCCCCTCTACCATAACCTATCGCCAGTCGTGTTTGTGGCTTAATACAGTAAAGACGTGTTTCATAGCGGCATCTTTGTGTGCAATGAATCTGTGAGATCAGTTGCGCCTGACAGAGGGTTAAAGGTGGGGGATAGATGGGCGGTCACCAAACCACCACCAGACACTCCAGAGTGCACATCTGATCCCCTATTTTTCCCCTGAGGGTCCTTGTCTTTAAAGTCACAGGTTATTTGCAGCAGGGAGATGCTGGTCCAAAGGCTGTTTGTCTCCTTCTCCTGGGGGTCGAGCTTCTCCCTGGGCAGTGCATGCTACAGTCTGTCACAGGCAGGGCTGGACTGCTCTGGGACCCCATAAACACATACACAGGCCTCTCCTCCCACCTGGGACTGTGGCATCCTCACCACGCACTGCATCACCCTCAGCTCCAATGACAAGTGGAAAACCCTCCCTTACCTCCCTGCCTCCCTTCCAAGACCAACAGACAATAAGAAAACTCAGACACCTGGGGGTGGAGTGGGGAGGGGTAAAGCAAGAAAAATAAACAGCCCATTGAGTTTCCAGAAGGTCCTGCCCTCATCACAATTCCAACTCCTCCCAGTGGCTTCTCTCCCTGAGAACAGCCTCACCAATTTTTACTGTAAGGAAAAAAAAAAATCCAATTAATCTTGTAAACACCTCCTGGGACACAGGGCAGGGCCAAGGATTCCTCCCATTTCCTTGTTTATCTGATTTAAAAAAAAAAATTTGTCTCTTCAGAATTTCACTCCAGGGCACAAGCAAGGACTTGGGAATTCAGCCAAAACACACGCACCTCTAGTGGTGACTGGCCGGCAGGCGGATGAACGGACGGCTCCAAGGACACGCTTGGCTGCGGCTGCTCCAACGCCTGGACACTCCCCTCGGCCACCCAGAGGGCCCTCTCTGGCTGTGGGAACCCACCCCAACACTCCACTGAAGGCAGCAGGAGGCGTCCAGCCACGTGCTCATGGGCGCACCCACTTGGTGTGTGGACCCTGGGCCAGGAAAGTTCTCTGTCCAGTCAATCTTCGCACGAGCAGGAGCAAACAATGACGTCCCTCCCTCCCGGCTGAGGGCTCCAGGAGAAGCTGCTCATCGGGAGAGAGGCTGCTATGGCAACTTGAGGAGAATGGAGCCAGGCACTGCCGTCACCTTGAATTCGGCACCAAGCATTCACCCTGGTGGCAGAGGGGCCGAACCTCAGCCCTGCCCCCCGCCGGGGTGGTGCTGGGGCTGACCTCAGCTTCCCTGCTCAGCCTCCTGGCCTCAGTGTCTCATTTGCTCTTCACCGAAACGGCGTACACAGCCCAGTCCCCTGAGAACACCACCTCCATCTGTTTTGTCAGACAAGTTCTTCTGTGTGTGCGGCTCCTGCTTTACTTCTGAGATGGGGTTCTTCTTGATTTCAGATCATTAAAATCCTGCAGTTAATTAAAATTGCTCTAACAGCAGCAGCGGCGGCGGCAGCAGCAGCAGCAAACTCTGGGACGAGTCCCTCCAGTTTTTATGCGTAGGCATAAAGTTGCAATGCTCTGCGACGATGACAAATGGCTGCAAGTGCTGGGACTTGAAGGCGGGGTTGCAGGCTTGGAACGGCTTGTGCCCCACTGCTGACAACGGGGAGCGCTAACCTGGGTCCTGAAATGCCCAGGGCCCAGCCCCCCCTTACACGGGCCCTCAAGGTAGCACTCCACTCTACCTCCATCTACCTCCCTATTATGAAGCAGGGATTCCTTTCAGTTCTCCGTGCTCCTTGCAGGGAGGAAAAAGGGAGTCCTAACATAGAGGCTGAGGTGTAGATGAGGTTCAAACAGCCCCAAAGCCTTGTCCCCACGGTCCTACTAGGAACGCCACAGCCCGACTTTCCACCATTGCTTATACCAAGAGGCGAAGGGGAAGGACGCCTGCAAACACATAGCTGCAGCGAGTGTGGTCCCGACAGCCTGGCCAGGGTGTCACAAGCCACAAGGCCCTCCGTTGCTGTTAGGGGTAGCACCACACCATAAATACCGTCTCTCTTACATTTTCATGGCATTTTGTACCAATGGGGCACAGTAGGAGATAGTAATTCTGCAGGTAGAGTAACCGACTCCTCACCACCCCGACCCTGGCAGCGTCTGGCATGAGGAATCAGTCCCCCCAAATCTTGTGAGTGTGTGTGTCCCTCCACGACAGCCCTTCCCCCACAGCGTGAGAGCAGTCACACGCCTGTCTCAGACCCTCGGAGCCTTGGCAGCAGTGTCGGGGCCTCGCCTCATCTCTGTATTCCCAGCACCGCTGCACAGTGCCTGGCACAGGGAATGTGATCAATAACCTCGGCTGCATGTTGAATGCACATGAGTTAATAGACGGAGGGGTTTGGGCCACCCCAAGAGAGAAGCTCCGTAAACCTGGAATTTTAAAAAGGTCATTTATGTTTCAGGCAGCTGTGGGTTTGTTTTGGTCAAGTCTGGGTTAGAATCAGGTCCAAATTGTAGCCCGATCCTGTGAGAGAAGAAGAGGCAAGGAAGTCAGCTCCACGAGGGAGCCAGGTGGAACCTGGCAGCTCCCAAATACTCAAAGCACGCTCCCTACCAGGGTGCCACTTTTGTGCCCTCATGTTGGGCGGAGAGATATTAAATCATAGGGCTTGAAGACTAATATACTTGTAGAGGTAAATCTTGACTCTATCTCTATACATACATGTTACTCGTATAGTAACACGTGTAACACATGCACGAACAAATATACAGTCACTTAGACGCCATACAATGGACTATCCCCACATATATAGTATGGTGCTAGGATACTCCTAAACCAAATTACAGTTTAAACGTGCCAATCAAAGTCAATGAAAGCAACACACGCTACAACGTGCATGAACCTGGAGGGCATTATGCTATATGAAACAAGCCAGGTACACTAGAACAAGTACTGTATGATTCCATGTAGTCAAATTCAGAGACAGAAAGTAGAATAGTAGTTACCAGGGGCTGTGGAGGAGGCAGGCATGGGGAGTTATTAATTAATGAGTACAGAGGTTCAGTTGGGGAAAATGAAAAAAGTTCTGGAGATGGGTGGTGGTGATGGTTTTCCAACAGTGTGAATGGACTTGACTCCTCTGGTGAAAATAGTAAATTTCATCTTGTGTATATTCTACCACACACACACACACAAAAAGCAAAGAAAGCCAACTGGAGGTTGACACTGAGCAGGAATCACTCTCTACCTGTTAGTTTCATTCATCCCACAGGTGACTGGGGATGGGCCCATGAACCGAGAGAAACCAGAGGGCTCAAGTCCATGCCCATGTAAAACTTGACCAGGACACGAGGGAGCTGGGTTTGTGGCTCCACTCAGACTGGTCAAGTCTGGCATGGACACCAGGCTAGGAGTAGGGAGCCCAGGTTCTAGGCCTGGCTGCCCTTCCAATCAACTGTGTGGCCTTCAAGGCTTGATTTTCCTAATCTCAGAATCAGTTTGCTTTCAACATCTTCAATATAGATGAGTTCCCAAGTTCCTTGCAACTCTGGTGTGAGACAAATGTCCTGGAGAACAAAAAGGCACCTTGTGAATTTCATTGGCATGAGGCAGCTTTCAGGCAGAGTAGGTGGCCCTCTGAGGAGGTCATCCCTCACCCACATCCTTGCCACAAATCTAGGTCACTGCTGGGCCCCTGTGGACCCAAGCTGCCAAGCTGTTTCCCTTTGAAACAACTCTGTACTTGCGGAAGGAGCAAAGGTCCCTGGTGCAAGTATCAAATTGGAAATTGTGTTCTCAGGTTCTTTCTGATCCACAAAGCCATGCTCCCCTGAGGCCTGCCTGGCTGAGGTGAGTTCCATCTGGGGCCACTCCCTACTGAGGTGACCACTGCTCTATGTCTGAACCCCTACAATGAGCCCCACCGCCCCCAACCCCTAGCGGGGATAGTGCCTCACTTAATGATAGAAATCATTTTGAGGCAGAAATCTAAACAGGGATAATGATGGAGATGCATCTGTATTTATAGGCACCTTTGTCATTTTAAAAATCATTAATGTTTAAAGAATGTAAAAGGTCAACCTGAGGGATCCTTGTGGTGATGATAATGCCCTCTATCCTGATTGTATCAATGTCAATATCCTCACTGTGGTACTGTACTATAGTTGCAGATGGTGTTACTGTTGGGGGGGCCGGTGGGATAAAGGGCACACACAATTATTTCTCTGCATTCTTTCTTACAACGGGATGTGAATCGAAAATGACCTCGAAATAAAACGTTTAATTAAAAAAAAATCAAGAACTTAAAAATAAAAGTTACTGTCCTTTCAGCTCATGTATAATGGAAGCAAATTCTGATGTTGGGCACGTAAATAATAAATAACCATTTTCATGGATCAGCGCCATCCTCTGTTGTATAAGAAACATTTTAAAGTTAAGGGACTATGCCTTTAATAGGAAAATTTGATGTGTTAGCAACTACTGGTTGATCTTTGTGCATTTTTCAATTGCAAATTGCACTTTAAAAATGCAAACAATTATTAATATTGATTTGGACTAAAACAATATTGAATTTCAATATATTTCCAGCACTTTTATGAATTACCCTGTGGATACGTGGTGATTATGATAAAGGAGCATTTGCATGCTCAATTTCTTTTCAGTGAGGAACCTTGAAGAGGGCTGACATGATCCAGGGATAATGAACTGCACAGGGTCAAGGCTGGCTTCCGAGTCCTTGTCTAGGTCCTCAAACTTAGCACCTGGCACAGACTTTCAGAGCCACTTTCCTCTCCGGGCTTTATCCAAACCGATATCACAGAGCACAGGTAATGAACACCTGCTCAAGGCCTGGACTGGGACTTAGCATTACAGTTTCTAGAGGAAGGAAAGAGAAAAAACATTTATCATGTTTTGTTAACGTTCCAGGCACCACGCTAGATACTGTATAAACACCTCATTTAGCTTTCACTCAATAACCTCTTGAAGTGAAAATCATTATCCTTATTTGTCACAGGTTTGGTTCTCTTTAAGGAGATGCTGAGATGGATCTTGGGGTGAAAGGTGTTTATTAAGAATCAACACCTGGGGCCGGCCGAGTGGCG